CGTCCACCATTTCACCAATCGCCGGAATAGGGCGTCCATTCAATCCAATGTAAGTGACACACTTCTTGATGGCCCGCCCTTCTTCTAGGGCTCATTGACATACTGATCAAAAAATGGCTTTTCTACAAACTTTACATGCAGTGGTACCAAGCGCAGTGGAATAAGGTGTATATCCGGGGATGGAGAGGGCGTGGCTTCGTACTTATTTGAAGGCGGTAGTGGCTGCACTTCTGAAGGGATACTACCGTTTTGGAACAAATGTGATCATGTCTTTGACCCTTACAAGGCAAGATAACAGTTGTTTCAAGAAAAACGGAGAACGTGCTTTAGGTCGTGCTCAAAGGGAGTACGCAGCCACGCCATTTCTACCCAGTCATGCCCGTCATGTTTTCAGGGAATCCTAGTCACAATCGCTAGTAAAAATTTTTTTGCAGACGTCTTACCCGCTCGGAGCCAACGGTAACCCGTGCGTCAACGATCATCAGTCGCAGTGAACTGATAGCCACTAAGGCGGCATCGGCAACGTCATGTTTGGGATCAAATCTCATCTCGCTCACTCATACCAGCTCCACGTCGTCGATACCGTATCCCAATGCTCGCTCCAGTTCGGCTCATTCTTATTTGACACCACAGCGAAGAAGCCGTTCACCGACGATTTCTGACGTGATCCGCTTCCGTAATCGAATAGGAAAACTAAACAAATTCCTCAGAAATCCTCAACACGTAGGTTACATTTTGGTTCTTACTTCAGGCCTTGTCTACAGTAACTGTATTGGGCGGAGTCAGGCCTGGTATTTCAGTGACCCTTTCTCAGAGATACTGTGAGGAACAGAAGCGCGCCAGGCACAGCAGAAGGCCTGACTCCGCTCACCTTAACATGGACGATGCCAAAATAAGATGTGTTGGATGACGTGACCACCTTTCAGAAGCCACCAAAACCTGTTGTACGTTCTGATTCGGATGCATCTACCCAACAAGGTGGAGCAGGCAGTACCAGTAGCGGGCATTAACAAGCCGCTTTTCATCAGGGAAAATGCTTGAACGATTTAGATCGATTGTTAAATGCTTAAGGAACACCTAAGATACTCGATAAATCTTGTCAGTTGTTAGCAAAGACTTATAGTTTGGTTTAACTTTTTGAAGCTGCAAAATCAGGGTGATTGTCCAGTCCATGTGAGGCTGAAGCTCTTATGAACATTCAATTCGGCCATCCAATCAGTTCGGCTTCGTGGGTGACCCGAGTGCTACTCATGTAAGCTCGAACAAGCCCGCCTCGCGAAAACCTGTTGAGTCCTGCGACCGAACTCCCGACTACCACTCCAAACTTCACAGCTTCACAGGAGTTTACAGGTTTGACAAAAGTCAGGCCTGTTTGTTAACACGAACCAACAGAAGGGAAGCGCAAAATGCCCCTCGAAGCCGAATAGTGGCTAATGGTTTGACGGACCTGGAAAAAAAGAATTAAAATCAGCGTGCAAAGCATACCAGCTGTATTACACCTCTTTTCAGATGTCTGCTTCGACCAACCAACCCTTTCCTGCGAAGCAGAACCTTCGTTGCCCAGCTTTCACGGCTGCAGCCATTTTGGGGTCCTGATTGAGTAGGAAAGCTGAACGCGATCCCGGCGCGGTGCGCTCTCAATGGCTGCAACAACTCATTTCTTCGCTCACGCACGGGCCTGTGGAAGGCGCCCGAGTCGGGGCGGAGAGGTGGCCACTATGGGCCGGGTTTGGTCGTGTCTAGTTATGGTGTTAGCTAGCTCCACAATTGGGTGGAGACTAGGTTTTGCGCCTATGCCAGAAATCCAACCCACTGCCGCACCCGCAGTATCCGGGACACAAGGCTGTTACCTTCTGTCGGCTGGAATTCTCCCCTCCAGGAACACTGTAAGCCATCTACTTCAACGATAAGCCGTGGCGAGGCGTCTACCGCCAATTGTTCTCTTTGTTTCTCATCGCCACTCTTATTCATGTAAAAGACCCTGTTTTTTGAGCTTATAACCTTGGGAGGGGCACTCAAGAGACTCCTTGTGGGTATTACCGTAATGGAGATGCAGTTGTTATCACTGAATTCGGTTGGGGCGTGTCAGCGAGTCGTGACTTCTGGCTCCATCGAAGGTTGCTGCTTCGAGCGGTCAATGAGTAAGCATTGGCAAAGAAGCTGGCGCCGCGCCAGAACCAACATCGCAATGACAGCCGACTCGCTGATAAAAGGGTAGAGATTTTTAACCACGCTCACAAGAAAGTGGTGGGGGAGCTCCAGGGAGTACCAAGGGTTAATCAACTGCTTTGGCCGAAAAAACTATTTAGCGCTATAGCAATTTCAGTGCTGCATGATGGATCCCATAAATGCCCACCCCTCTCTTCGAGGCGAACAGTGCCCTGAAGTATTCCGTTTTTGGAAGTTCAAAGTTCCGCGGCGTAAGAGTACTAAAGAGGAAACCCATCGGAGATAGGCGAGCGGCGAAATTTTTAGGTGAATCTTGTGAGGTGCAAAGTGGCGCTTCATCAGTTCTTTGTGTGCGATTTCGAACAACAACGGGCGATAGCTAAGTGGACAATTTGCTGCCTCAAACAATCAGCGCCACTCGCGACGTCGCAATGCGATTGCCGCGTTTCATTACCGTATTCTTCGTCTAATACGATTGCGTTCGGGACTATGACACATGCCACGCCCACTTAGATGGACCCCTACACCTCCTCTTCCCGTATTAGTTCACGGGGGAAAAGCCTCATTGGGTGTTAATCGCCAAAACATTTGTTACTCCTTCAATCACTAGCGCTTTCATTGCCCTTTCAATAGGTCTCTCTTTCTCGTTCTATTGTCTTTCTTCAGGGCTGAGCTTTCGACCCTTTGACCCTGAGCTTCTGAAAGCGTAATTACCAGAGGGATATTGTTACCTGCGGTTGTCACATCCGCTGCAGATGTAGCCTAGGTCCGCTCCCCCTTGACGGTTCGGTCATTGTCAAGAATTTCTCAAAAGACGTCAATGACACGTCAATTATCGCTTAGCCAGCAACTTTGGGGGGGGGGGGTAACCCGCTACATCAGCGCTTTACGCGCCATAGAAGGTTTTCTTTTTTTCCGCTCGAGCCCACCTTGTTCAACACCCTCAAAGCATCGTTTATTAAACTTTGTCGAGAGTTGTTTGCAAGCCATTCTTCTTTCATAGCGCACCTTTTTCAAGGACCGACTCTACACGGCAAAACCCCGTTCTCCTCGTTGCGCAAAGTCCAGCCCTCCCGTAAGCGAGCTCTTAGAATTTCGTATCTATACTCTCTTTCCTCTCCAACATCCTTTTCCTTTTTCCTAGCAATTTGTTAGAATCTCTTAATTTTCTCCAGAATATTGGCAGTCATTGTGGGTGGAAAGGGGTCGAGCTGAAACGCGGAATATGAGAAAAGTTTATAATCGAAAAACATTATTTTCCTCAAGAAAAAGCAAATAAGCTTCCGCCTTGCTGGGATCCCTAACGCGTGACACGCCCTACCCTTCCCGCTGGTATCAGAATTTTACTACATCTGACAGTTGATGTCATGTCCATTCTCCTTCCCCATCCCTATTTGGAAGAGGGATCATCATGGAGATTTTGGAAAGCTTTGATACCCCGGCCCCACCTAACAACAAAGATTTGCCGGGCGGAAAGAGCCGTTTGGAAAAACTCGGCAAAAATCCGAACATCCCTTTCCCAAGGTTACCGTTCTGTTACGACCCGTCTTACCCATCCCCCTCCTACCTATCAGTTTCCTGAATTTTCCCAACTCCCTACCACTTCACCGGTTCTCGGGAGTTTTCTTTTCAAAAATTCGTCTACTTTTTCCCGAGGAACTGCCGTCGAGCAGGGGGTCTAGCTCACATGAAACAGGAATGACCGAGAAAAGTCAACAACCAAAATCATTTTATCTCTTCGTAGTGAACCCTGATTTAGAATGTATATTACTATACTGTAGATGTATACTTTAGGAGGGAAAATTAGCAACTAGAAAATTTTGTCAGACCGAATACCATCCGATCCATTCTTTTCCCCACTTTCTCACCCAAATGCACCCCCCCCATGAGGGTTTAACAGCCAAGACGTGCACTGGAACGTCACATTTTCACATTCTCAAAAAAATCACCTCTGTAGGGGTAATGCGTCCTGCCCCTAACCTGCAGAACACTCACTCCTCGCGAGAATTCCACGAAAAAAAACCACCATTCATCCAGATACGGATATTTTCGACATAATAAGCGGGAACGGTTTTTCCTGTTTGTCGAGGTATTTGCGGCCCTCACCGCCTATCACCCATTGCCAAATTGTTTCCTCTCGCTGACAGACGATTATCTATGACCTGCCAAAGGGGTGCTTGTGGCTTGGTTTGCTAGTAGCACGTCGAGTGCTCCTACTAACATCCCCTTGATCCTGGAGCCAAACTGAGGGCATAGGTTGATGGTGGCTTTTTGTGCCTGGGGCTAAATTGCTTGGAATTGTCACATAATGGCACATGTATCCGTATCCTGAAAAAAAGTTTGAGGTAAGGGTCATTAGCGTCACAGGCCTGTTCCAAATACCCCCGATTGTTACCGCCGTATAGCTTTATTTCCTAGTATTTATTACTGTATTTTGTAGAAACGCTACCGTATTGGGCACTTGTAATCTTGGAGGGGGGGGCATTTAAAGGACTTCCTTATGCAAAACTGGATTTACCATCGTCCCGACAGGATCATCTTCTCTCGCTTAAGTCAAGGCAAAGTCCTCACGCATCACACTCACTCTATTTTTGCATAA